AGAATCCCGCAAACATCCTCTTAATAAACCACAAAAAAAACGTGGCTGGGCTCAACCAGGCCCCACGTCTGAAGAGAAAAGACTTTTTTTTAACCCACGTTAGCAGAAGTGAGCAACTATTGAGAGTGTAGTAGATGAAATAAGGTCTCATGCCTCTTGCATGTTTCCCCCAAACACATTCTTCTTGCCACTGAGACACTGATCAGAGAAACAGAAGTATGCTATGTACTGCCTTGAGCCTATTCCATGATTCAATGAGATCATTGTTGATCTACAACCTAAATCCACATTGTCCTTTGTGCTCTACATTATTTGATACTTTTGGTTAACACGTGTCAATCTTAGCAATAAATTTAATGATGATCAAGCGCCAATTGCTGCTTGCAGAAGAGAGCTGCAGTTTTCTACAATCCTTGGCATGTAAGAGTGTTCCCTTATTTCACTCTTGAAAGGTAAGGCTGCAATTTCTAGCTCTGTCAATTAGGCCTAGACTCACCCAAGAACCCCTGACCAGTGACACATACTTTCTTAGGTGGACAATCATACTTGTCAACAAACGATTGCCAACGGGACTCACCAGCAAGCAGAAATAGTTTCCATCAATCCTATACATTCCCCCTAATTCTCTCAAACCCAAAAGATCACTGCCAATCTACATGCATTCGCTCCAAACCAATATATCTGTCCAAAAGTATAGTGCCAAAACCTGTTCATGGAATTCTAGGGTACTCCAGTAAATCAGTGGAGAGAGAAACAGAGTTAACGTTTTGAGTCCAATGACTCTTCTGTTCCAAAGATTCTGCCAGACCTGCTGAGTTGCTCCAGCACTTTGTTTTTATTTCAAATTTCCTGCATCCAAACTATTTGCTTTTAGTCTCATTCTTGTATTCGTCTTTTCAATATCAAGGTTAGCATTAGGTTATTTTGACAATTTTCTGTACTACAGAGTCAGATTCATAGAGGTATACAGCATGGAAACCGGCCCTTCAGCCCAACTCATCCATGCCAACTGGGTTTCTTAAACTGAACTAGTCCCATTTGCCTGCGTTGGGCACATATCCTTCTAAACTTTTCCTATTCACGTACATGTCCAAATGTCTTTTACATGGTGCAATTGTACCTGCCTCGACCACTTCATACACACCACTGTGTGAAAAAGTTAAACCTATGCCCTCTAGTTTTTGACTCCCCTACGCTGGGGAAAAGACCTTGGCTAGTCACCTTATTTATGTCCCTCATGATTTTACAAAACCTCTTATAATGTCACCCCTCAGGCTCCTACACTCCAGGGAAAAAAGTCCCAGCCTACCCTTATAGCTTAAAACATCCTTGTAATCTTTACTGCACCCCTAACAGTTTAATAACAAGTCTTCCTGCAATAGGTAGGATGTTTTATCCCTTTAGTTCCAAATTAGATGCCCTCATGCAGCTAACTGACATCCATTTCCCACAGTTTTGCCCATTCGCTTAGTCTCCTTCAAATTTTACACTTTCATCTGCTTACCTTGCCACTGACATGTGGCTTAGGCCTTTGGCATATCCAAAGGTCAGGTCATTGATAAATATGGTAAAGAGCTGAGGCACCAAACAAGGGTACTTGCAAGGCATCTGTAGTCACATTCTGCAAATGCGAGTATCTGCCCATTATCCTTACTCAGTCTCCTGCCATTCAGCTGATTTCCTAACCAGCTTAATCTCATGAACTTCAACTTTAGCTAACAGAGTTCTTACTAAATAAGTTCTGCAGTTCAAGTTAAATTAAATCCATACAACAGTACCAGACAACTTTGTAAAATTATATGGACGGTACCTTCTCACTCTCAAGTCCTTAAAAACTTGGGATAAAAAGCATCCCTACACAGGGATGATCATTCTTTTGTGTCTTTATTTCTTCACCTATTTTGTTTACATAAATTCTGGTGAATCCTTGATTCAGTATCAATTTTCTTGAGCACACTGGCCTCACTCTCTATTTTAAATATTTTAAAATGCAAATTAATCAGCATGCTCAATATGCCCTTATTTTCATTGGCAACACTTATCAGTCTAAGGCATTCATATTGCTCGACTATACATTTTTCCTAATGTAAACGTAAAAATGGTTTGCGATTTTGATATCCTTTGCAACACTCATTGTAGCTCCTAGTTTCAGTTTTCTAATCCTTTTCCTTTATGTGCACTTATCCTATTTGCCAAGTTTTTGATTCAAGTTTCGTAAGATTTACTCTTAGCTTCTTAACCTCTAGTCATCCACAGCTGCCTTTTTTGACTAGTAGGATCTGACTTTCTTGCCTCTTGGGATTCTGTATTTCAAATTACTTTCTGAACACTTCTCATTGATCTTCTGTCATCTTACCCATTTAACAGATTTGTCCAGTTTACTGTAGACAATCGGTTTCATCTCAGTGAAGTCAGCCTTACATAAATCTAGAATCTTAGGCAACAGTTTCACATTTCACTCTTTCAAAGAACATGTAGTTAACTGTTCAAATACTATTAAACCCTTAACCATTAACTGGCCGATTACACATTACAAAACGTAAACAGTATGCCCACTGAACTCATCCCTGGTCTCCTCTTTACTGTGTACTCAATGCCAGGTGTGCAAGAATCTTGCCCTCTGACAGAAAACCCGTAATCAGCATTTCAATAATCAAAGTGCAGAGCTATGGTATCATAGTAAGCACTGTGAAATAGATACAGCAATGCAGAATGAAAGTGTATAGTGTGATACGTAATCTGCTTTACAGCAATGCGTTCAGTGTACTTTTTCAGGTATACCCATGTAAATGCATCTTTTCATCACTCAGGTCACTCCACAGCATCAGAAGGCATTTACAACAGAATTCACTCTCTCCTTCTCATAGGTTAGTGGCAACCAACAACAAACCAGTCACCAGTATTAAACCTTTCTTCCATGGTCCCAGATTCTATGACCCCACCTGCTCCCAGAATTTAGGGCATATTGACCATGATCATTTACTGATGTGCCAACTGTTCTTCTCTCTCTTTGAGCTCTATCCCCACCTATCGTTTACTCCTTATCCCCTCACCCTACCCTATTTTCTGCGTATAAACTGACATTTTCTTGCTACCATCAGTTCCGAGAAAGGTTCACCAGACCCGAAACGTTAACTCTGATTTCGATTAGAATCCCTTCAGTGTGGAACCAGGCCATTCGACCCAATAGGTTCACACTGACTCTCCAAAGTGTATCCCACCCAGACTCACCTAGTGCTGTAACCCTACACTTCCCATGGCTAATCCACCGATCCTGCATATCTACAGACTGTGGAAGGAAACCGGAGCACCCAAAGGAAACCCACGCAGACACAGGAAGAATGTGCAAACACCACACAGACAGTTGCCCGAGGCTCGAATTGAACCCGGGTCCCTGGTGCTGTAAGGCAGCAGCGGTAGCCACTGAGGACCCGTGCTGCCCTTTGTCTTCACAGATGCTGCCAGACCTGCTGAGTTTTTCTAGTCACTTCTGGGTTTTTTTTCCTGATTTACAGCATCTGCAGTCCTTTCAGTTTTTATTCAGCCACAGCCTTCACACTTCAAAAGTAGGAAAATAAGTTTTGTAGATAAATCAACAGGGATTCTTGCTCCTGGTATCCAGGGTCAATGCTGGACAACTTAGTACAAATTGGAATGCACACCAAGAGTGAGCATAGGATCTGTAACAATATTAATGCTGCCTAACAGCTATTATCTACCAGCACTCAAAGAGAATGGTCATTTCAGTCAGAAGCAGATTCCAGACCCCTGAATCAGATCGCACAATTACTTATTGTTTCTAAGGAAAGAGCAAACAGAAGTTTAAAAATCAAATTGAATAAAGGATTTCAATAATGATGATGTTAAATCATAACAAATGGAGAGTGCAGTAGTCAATTTCTTGCCATTTTTCTACAGTTCCAGTCACTTAAGGACTGATCTCACCAAGTATTCACATGTAGTTAGACAACAACTAATTGATCAAAGAAGTGAATCAATCTGTTGAACTCAAAGAAAGTGAGTAAATCAGTGGAAACCCCAATGTAATCAAAGTAATGGTATGTAAAAGAATGAGAGGGGAGGGTGGGTGGATGACAGATAGCGCTCTGGAAATATTTGTAACTCACATTAGCAATAGGCATTTTCCCACACAAACTTTCCTCAACCAATTTACTTCAATAAAACATATTTGTATTTTTAGCACATAATCTCTTTCAAGTATTGTACAATTTTTATAAATCAAAATCTAACGTTATTGGTTTCTTATCTAAATTTGCAAATTGACCACTGGTGCAGTTACCACCTAATTATGTTGATAAAAGCTGCAAAAACCTGAACTGACCTTATTGAAACTACTTTTATCATGGGCAGTATGTAGCAGACCAGGTAGGCAGTTAAATAACAATTAAAGCAAAGTACCGTAGATGCTGGAAACCTGAAACACATGGAGAATGCTGGTGAAACTCAACAGGTCTGGCAAGATCTGCAGAGAGATGGAGTTAACAGAGTCTGTATAACTCTTCTTCAGAACTGAGGGATGAGATGTGAAATGGCATAGAGGATGCTATAAGGCAGGAAGATTGGGGAAACGCTGTGACAGTGAAACATTCAGTTCTGAAGAAGATTCATACTAGACACAAAACGTTAACACTATTTTGCTCCATAGATGCTGAGTTTCTGCAATTAAACAACTCTGCTTCATGTACCAAGCTAGTCACAAACAAGAGAATGGAAGATCTACTTGTACCACCAAAAGCCTATTAACAGCATTCAGACTGTTGTTATTGAGGTTAAGTGCTGTGCATAACAAATCACTGTACTTGCAAGTAACTCACTCTAAGTGATGTTCAAATGTTGAGATATGACAAGATGCTAAATAATGAAAGCCCATACTTCTCTTGCATAAAACAGCCCAGAAACTTGAGCAACATTAAATTTCAAAATGATCTTTCTTCTGAGAAAGACCATAGAAAGTAAATGCACATTAACAGTTAGCTAACCTTTGTGTGTTTCACAACAATGTTTGTGCAATTTCCTCATCATCGATCCTTCTAGAATTCCTTGAGACATCATAGTCTGCAGGAATCGTCGGTGGCTCTCATTTAGCGCTGCTGCCATTACAACACTACACTCTCCTGGAGAAATAAAATCAGACTGAACTGAGAACCTTGGCATCACACTGAAATCAAACAATTTGGTCATTATTTAACTTCTGCCATGGGGCATTTAACTATTTTATGTGCTTCCACTACCCTCCTCAGATGAGTTGGATCTATTCCCCAAGGCTGCACAAGGGCTACCTCACTCTACGCCCTTAGCCCTCACTCTACACCCCTGCTTTCCTCCATTTGCCCAACACTAATCCACTCACCATGCCTCCAACCCTTCTCCCAATCCCCACACCATTAAGCATCGTCCATCCCATTTCATCTCTCATCCCCTTCTCTGTCCCATCTTTTCCATGCCTGCCTTACCCCATTCTCTGCCAGCAACCATTGCCACCCTCACCATAACCCAATCCATTCTCCCATTTCCACCTTTACCAACACTTTTCGCCATCTATCCACTCCAGTCTCACCCCACCATCCTCCACCTACCTGTCCACAGCCCTCCAAATCTGTCCAACCACCCGTGTCCCTTGCCACCCCTTTCCCAACTCCAACTTCTCCTCACCCCACTCCATTACCCCACTATCTTTGCCACTGCCTGCCACCCACTACTCCTTGCCCGCCCCGTCCATCCCCTCTGACTTCCTTGACCATTCCTCTCACACGTCTCTCTCTCTGTGTTCCACATCACCTATCCCCTTCCCCCATCTCTCACCTCTTTAATTCTCCTTAATCAACCCTTTCACTTCTCTCTCGTACACCCAACTGCACCCCATCTCTCCACCCCCCCCAACCCTCTCTCCCCCCCCCCTGCTCCCCACCCCCCCCCCCGCTCCTCTCTCTCTCCCCCCCCTTCTCTTCTAAAGCCCTCATCGTTCTCTCTTACCCCATCCCTCCTTAAACACTCCCCACCCCGATCCCAGACTATATTCCATCCCATCTCTGTATCACTCGTCCCACCCCGGAGCACCGCTCACCGGGCCCGCAGTCACGATTTCCCACAATCCCCAGCGGCGGTGACTCCGTGGTGCATTATGGGTTTGGGTTCCAGAATTTTCTGTGTGTTGTTGAAAGCCGAGGAGTTGAATGTTGCCGTGTTCGTAATTTGTTTTGATAAAGGATCTTCTTCATTTGCCTGACACGTTAAAGCTGCTCGTTTCTCTTCAAAACTCCGTTAGAAACTTTATGATTTTTTTAAAAAAATTTCAGTGTTTGATGCCAAACGCAAACTCTTTCGGGGCAAGTTTCCCCAAACCCTTTCCGAAAAGCGGAATAAAATGTTCATTCGGGATGGTTAAAACAGTTGGCAACCAGAATGTGAGTTCATTGGAAATATCCGAGACTGGTTAGAAACAAGAAGTGATTCTTTTTCCCAGATCTCAAAACAAATTTCATTTGTTTTCCTTTGTAAAGTAAAAGTAAGGGCCGCGGATTGTGGGAATTGGAAACGAAAACAAAATGTTTTGGAGAAACTCGGCAGGTCTGGCAGTGGAAAGAGAAACAGGCCAGCGCTTGGAGTCCAGTTACCTTATGACAGAACTGAAAGCCAGTGGGAAATAGTTGTATTTTAGCTGATGGTGGCTGAGATTAGGGGGAGGGGAGGAATGGTAGGTCTGTAAAAGTGACCCCGAGTTTCTAGTTGCCTGCCGCTTGGACACACTGCTGTTTCCTCGTGTCAATATTTCTGTCTCAGGCTGCTTCAGTTCTTCAAGGATGCTCAAAGCAAGCTGGAGGAATAAGACACCTTACAGTTGTCAGGATTCAACATTGAATCAGAGAGTGTAAACCTTCTTCCATGTCTCTTGTCCAACCTCAGGTCCTATTCTGTATGCACCCAGAACAGTCAACCCATTTTAGACTACTTACACTTGCTGCTGGCACTCATTCAGCATACCTTCTGCTCAGTTGAAAATTAGCAGCCCCTTTGCTTTTCTTTGACTTGGCACCATCTCCGGCAACCCAATTTACGCCCGCTGCCCTACCCCACTTCCATCATCGGCATAAATACCACCTTTTCCCACCAGTTTTCATTATCCTGTTTTTATGCCGCTTATATAAAAGAGGGTCAAGCCCTCCGGAAAAGACCATATAAGGCCACTTTTGGTATACTGCGTTCAGTTCTGGTCTCCGTGCTGTAGGATGGGTGTTGTGAAAGTTGAAAGGGTTCAGAAAAGATTTACAAGGATGTTGCCGGGGTTGGAGGGTTTGAGCTATAGGGAGAGGCTGAATAGGCTGGGGCTGTTTCCCTGGAGCTTCGGAGGGTGAGGGGTGACCTTATAGAGGATTGAAAAAGCATGGGGGCATGGATAGCATGAATAACCAAGGTCTTTTCCCAGGATGGGGGGTCCAAAACTAGAAGGCATAAGTTTAAGACAAGAGTGGAAAGATGTAAAAGGGACCTAAGGGGCAACCTTTTTATGCAAAGGATGGTGTGTGTGTGAAATGAGGAAGTGTTGGAGGCTGGTACAACTACAACATTTAAAAAGCATCTGGATGAGTATATGAGTAGAGAGATTCAGAGGGATATGTGTCAAATGCTGGCAAATAGGTCTTGATTAATTTAGGGTATCTGGTCGGCATGGATGAGTTGGACCAAAAGGTCTGTAAACTCTGTGACTATAACAAGCTAGACATTGAGAAAACACAGACTGGAAACCAGAGCAGCTATGAATTTGCTTGATCTGAAGGAAATCCATGTTGCATACAACCAAACTGCGTCTTTGTGCACTGGCTGCACTCAGCCCTTGTCCACAAACATTGGCATTCAGCATTTGTCAACCCCTCACAACCACCATGGCACCTCTCCAGACCACTGGTAGAATCATGCAGCTGTACGATTTCCTAAATTAATCAAGTCCCATTTGCCAGCATTTGGCGCATATCCCTCTGAACACCTTCTGTTCATATACTCAACATCTTTCTTATAGCAGGGAGAATAGAATTGCACGCAGTATTCCAAACATGGCCTAACCAATGTCCTGTACAGCTGCATAATGACATCCCAATTCCTGTACTCAATGCACTGACTAATAAAGGCAAGTGTACCAAACGCCTTCTTCACTAACATGTCTTTGGTAATATAACTGAACATTAATGAGTCAAGTTGTATCCTTCTCCTCAATCGGTAACTCACCACCTAGTGAGAAACTCACCATGCCATTTGATAAAAGCATAAAAGATGGAACATGATGCTTCTGATGTCGAGATGGACCTCACCGGACTTATGACCAATCCTTGTCTAATCTTGCCACCGCTTATGTCATCCAGACCCCAAAAGATTCTGCCCTATGCCTAATGCCTATGTTTTAAGTTTCAGAGAGAAACTAAGCTAGGCTAAAAAAATATTAAGTGTTTAAACAAAACTAGAACAGCTAAAAAGTTTGAAGATTTGTTGCCGGAGCTAAGGTCTGTTATCCGTCTCTGGAAACCATTAAAAGCTTAGGTCACTGGATCTTAACAAATAAAAAAGAAACTCAAAGACGTGAATTATGTAGTCAATATTCCAGACAGGAGAAAACTCAGCGTGTATATCATGTTAATATAAAGACATTTTTTTAATGACAGGATAGTCAAGAGAAAGTATATTTACAATGGTGAAAAACATAGGAAATGAAAATAAAATATCTAAACAATCGGAGAATGAAATTGAAACTTCAAAAGTTGATTCCCCAAAAATCAGATTGGATGGTATGGATTACTTAAAAGATGGATGGAATATTATTGCTAACTCCCAGAAAACTACCAAAGTGACAAACACATAAATCAATCCATGTCAATAGGCCAAGAGAATCTTTTGCTATGCGTGCTATTAATGTAGGGTGTGTGTTACCCATAAAATAATATCCTTACAGACTCAACCCAGAGGGTTAGCTCAAGTGAGGGACATGGTTGAGCACATGATGAAAGTATATATTTTTGAACTAAGTTGTAGTAGCTGGAGCCCACCTGCCCTAATAGTGTTGAAACCAATTGAGTAACAAAGACTATGCATTGTTTATCACAAAGTCATCATGTTAAAAAAGGAACATTCCCATGTGATTCCATACTAGAGAACTGGACTGAAAAAAATTGTATATCCATCATAATCAAAATTGAATTGTTAAAAGGATATTGGAAAGTCCGAAATAAATTATTTACCAATTTGGGTTTCATTCTATGACCTGATTTTGTCCAATATTGCCATCAGCTGAGATCATAATAGCATATACAAGGAAACACAGAAGCCAAACAAATGAATTAACATCTTTCAAAATCAGTTGTACCCCATGCCAATTAGTTTGTGAGGGTGATTCACTAGTTCCAGTTCACTGATTGGAAAAGGCACATGACTGGGATGAAATAGACCAGACAAAATAACATGGTGATTTAAGATTTCTTTTTGTTAATGATTTGAATTTTAATTGTTATATCCGTGTGGCACTTTTGCAAGAATGCTTGCTTGATGACATTTACAACCTAATACTGTATCTCCTTCAGGATTTCAGTTAGAAGAATGTGAGACTAACATGTCCCAGCATTAGTCAAAATCCCAAAAATATTCTTGCTTTAGCTCCCAATTCCAATTGTTGAAAATCTCAAACAAACACTTTTAAAAGAGACTGCTTTGGAAATAATTTCCAGGTTCTAGCTTTTTTATCTCTTTGCCACCCCCACCCAATAAATATTTTTACAAATAAGCTTTATGAAAAGAGGGCAAATCAAGCTGTTTGCAACCTATTTGACCCCAAAGTGAGCCTTCAACCATGAATTGGCACTATCATCAAGACCACATAATTTCACTTTCTATAGCACAGATTTTTTCTCACCCTGCCTCAATTCTTCTCTGCTGAAAATCTCAGTCATACGTTCATTACCTCCAGACATGTCTATTCCAAAGGACTCCTAGCTAGTTTACCACATTCTACGTCACACTTGTATCTGCACTGATGCTTACCCCAGTTCTTGCTTCTAGCTCTTCATTTGTTTGCTCTAGCTCCGAGTCAACACCAAGGCTTAAGCAATCAAACACAGGGAACATATATCAGTTACCAAAGTTACATAATTAAAAATAGAACGATTAAACAATAGATACCTCTACCTCTGTTTCCTCCTTTAAGACATGCCTTAAGTCTATCTCTTTGGCCTAAGTTTTACTCGTTTACCCAAAATTCCTTTATGGCTTAGTGTTATATTTTGTTTATAATATTTATAATAATATTTGTTTCATTTTATAATGGTGTACTTTAGTTTTCTTGATAACATTAAAGGCACAATATAAATATAAATTATTGTCAAAAGTTTCTCAGAAAAGCATAGTTCCTTTAAAATCTTATATTTGCACTTGTTTTTGTTACTTGTTTCTGCACTTTCAACATAAAGCTTTATCTGTAGTATTATTCAGCCTGTTATCAAGAGTAAATAATTACCTGCCGCAGTCAGGTTCCATTTCCTCCTAACCTTCATCCCTCTTAAACACGTATGCGTACACAACGCACACACACAAACAATACGCAGACGAGGAGGCCATTAGGAGGAAATGAACCCTGGAAAAGGTGAGTAGTTGTAATTTTGAGTGACAGCCTGTTCAGTCATGGCTAATTTTTTAATGCAAAACCTTGGCTTTGATACAGGTGGTGGGATGGGGTCATGCTTGATGCTGGGGTGAGGGGACTGATTCGACTCTGACCAGAGTTATGTCTGTGTCTGTGCACCAGTTTACAATGAGCGTCTAGGCCCGAAACGTCAGCCTTCCTGCTCCTCTGATGCTGCTTGGCCTGCTGTGTTCATCCAGCTCTACACCTTGTTATCTACAATGAGCAGTGGGCAGCTTCTCATCTCTCAATGTTTATAGTGTTGGCAGTGCAATCCACCATTAGGCTTGGAAGGAACATTAAGAAAAAGTTTCATCTTCAAAGCCTAGCTAGCAATCTGGCAGAGAATCTAACCTTTATACAGTCCACTATATTTTAAATTAATTGATTTTGATAAAGGGAGTGGAATCTTTACTGTCAGATTTAAACTGAAGTGCTGGAACAGAAATGTCCACATCACTAAGATAAGATTTGCATTTATATAGACCCTTTACAACCAAATGCATTCGAGCCAAGAGCTTTTTTAAGTGTAGTCGTTATAATGTAGGAAATGTGGCAGCAAATTTGCATTTGCCAAGAAGTCACAAGCAACAATGTGTTAATGACTAGATTATTTGTTTCTATGTTAATCTGACATCAGTCATTGGGAAAGTTCTAAAAAATTATCATTACTAAGTCTTATATCCCTAGAAAAGCATAGTACGATTCAAACAAGTCATCACGGCTTTACAAAAGGGAAGTTCTGTTCAACAAATTTGGTAGAGTTTTTGAGGATACAGGAAACCAGTAAAAGCAATGAGATAACAAAGTGCAGAGCTGGATGAACACAGCAGGCCAAGCAGCATCAGAGGAGCAGGAAGGCTGACGTTTCGGGCCTAGACCCTTCTTCAGAAATGGGGGAGGGAAAGGGGGTTCTGATATAAATAGGGAGAGAGGGGGAGGCGGATAGAAGATGGATAGAGGAGAAAATAGGTGGAGAGGAAACAGACAGGTCAAAGAGGTGGGGATGGAGCCAGTAGAGGTGAGTGTAGGTGGGGAGGTAGGGAGGGGATAGGTCAGTACAGGGAGGACGGACAGGTCAAGGGGGCGGGATGAGGTTAGTAGGTAGGAGATGGGGGTGGGGCTTGGGGTGGGAGAAGGGGATAGGTGGGAGGAAGGACAGGTTAGGGAGGCGGGAAAGAGCTGGGCTGGTTTTGGGATGCGGTAGGGGGAGGGGAGATTTTGAATCTTGTGAAGTCCACATTGATACGATTGAGCTGCAGCGTTCCCAAGCAGAATATGAGTTGCTGTTCCTGTAACCTTCGGGTAGCATCGTTGTGGCACTGCAAGAGGCCCAGGATGGACATGTCATCTGAGGAGTGGGAGGGGGAATTGAAATCGTTCGTGACTGGGAGGTGCAGTTGTTTAGTGCGAACCGAGAGTAGGTGTTCTGCAAAGCAGTCCCCAAGCCTGTGCTTGATTTCCCCGATGTAGAGAAGGCCACAATGGGAACAGCGGATGCAGTATACCACATTAGCAGATGTGCAGGTGAACATCTGCTTGATGTGGAAAGTCTTCTTGGGGCCTGGGATGGGGGTGAGGGGGGAGGTGTAGGGGCAGGTGTAGCACTTCCTGTGGTTGCAGGGAAAAGTGCCGGGTGTGGTGGGGCTGGAGGGGAGTGTGGAGCAGACAAGGGAGTGCCAGAGAGAGTGGTCCCTCCGGAAAGCAGATAAGGGTGGGGAGGGAAAAATGTCTTTGGTGGTGGGGTCGGATTGCAGATGGCGGAAGTGTCGGAGAATGATGCGTTGGATCCGGAAGTTGGTAGGGTAGTACGTGAGGACGAGGGGAATTCTGTTTTGGTTGTTATTGCGGGGCGGGGGTGTGAGGGATGAGTTGCGGGAAATGCGGGAGACACGGTCGAGGGCATTCTCGACCACTGAGGGGGGGAAGTTGCGGTCCTTGAAAAATGAGGACATCTGAGATGTACGGGAGTGGAATGCCTCATCCTGGGAGCAGATGTGGCGGAGGCGAAGGAATTGGGAATAGGGGATGGCATTTTTGCAGGAAGGTGGGTGGGAGGAGGTGTATTCTAGGTAGCTGTGGGAGTCAGTGGGCTTAAAATGGATATCGGTTTCTAGGTGGTTGCCAGAGTTGGAGACAGAGAGGTCCAGGAAGGAGAGAGAGGTATTGGAGATGGTCCAGGTGAACTTAAGGTTGGGTTGGAAGGTGTTGGTGAAGTGGATGAACTGTTCCAGCTCCTCGTGGGAGCACGAGGCAGCGCCGATACAGTCATCAATGTAATGGAGGAAGAGGTGGTGTTTAGAGCCAGTGTAGGTACGGAAGAGGGATTGTTCCACATAACCTACGAAGAGACAGGCATAGCTTGGGCCCATGCGGGTACCCATGGCCACCCTCTTTGTCTGTAGGAAGTGGGAGGAATTAAAAGAGAAGCTGTTGAGGCTGAGGACGAGTTCGGCTAAGCGGATGAGGGTGTCAGTGGAGGGGTACTGGTTGGGCCTGCGGGACAGGAAGAAGCGGAGGGCCTTTAGGCCATCTGTATGGGGAATGCAGGTGTATAGGGATTGGATGTCCATGGTAAAGATGAGGTGTTGGGGACCGGGGAATTGGAAGTTCTGGAGGAGGTGGAGGGCATGGGTGGTGTCACGGATGTAAGTAGAGAGTTCCTGGACCTTAGATTTCCAAAAGACATTCGGTAAGGTGCCAAATAAAACGTTAATGCAAAAGTAAGAATCCATGGAGTCGGTGGTGATACATTAGCATGGATGGAAGATTGGTTAATGGAGAGGAAAAACAGAAGGGATAAATGGGGCATTTTCAATTTGCAAGCTGTGACTACTGGAGTGCCACAAGGATCATCAGGAATTTATGCTATTTATAATCTATATTAATGATTTAAATTAAGAGACAGTGAATAATGTATTAAAGTTTGTCATGTTACAAAACCTAATGAGAAAGCAATCTATGAGGAGGACACAAAGACAAGTGAATGGGCAACAAGGTGGCAGATGGAATATAATCTAGTGGTGAGATTATTCATGTTGGTTGTAAGAATAGAGAAGCAGTTTTTTTTTGAAGTCTGAAACATGTAAGTGTTGACTTAGTTATAGAAGGAACACATGTTATCAGCAGGAATAGCAAGCAATTAAAAAAAAAAGATACCTTTTGTTGTAAAGGGATTTGAATACAAGATTAAAGAAGACTTGCTACAGGGTTTTGGTGAGACCACACCTAGTCTGATTACACTGTGTGCAATTTGGAGTCCATATTTAAGACCATAAGAACTGGGAGAAGGAGAAGGCAATTCAGCCCTTTGAGACTACTCTGTCATTTATTACGATCATGCCTGATCTCATCTCATTCTCAACTCCACTTTCCTATGCATTCTCCATAACCCTTCAATCCTTGACTAATTAAAAATCTGTCTATGTCCGCTTTAAATTTGTTTAGTGTCCCAATGTACACCACACTCTAGAGTAGTGAATTCCACGAATTCACAATCCTTTGAGAGAAGTAATTTCTCCTGTAAGAAAAATATATTTGCTTTGGAGGCAGTACAGCAAAGGTTCACTAAATTAGTCCCAAGGATGAGAAGGTTGTCCAGTGAAGAGAAGTCCTGATGAAGGCTCCCAACATCGACTCTCCTGCTCCTCTGATGCTGCCTGACCTGCTGTGTTTCTCCAGCTCCACACTGTGTTGCCTGTCAAGAGAAGGTTGTCTTATGATGAGAGACTCAGTAAATTACATTTATATTCTCTGGTGTTTGGAGGAATGAGAGGTGAATTCATTGAAACTTTCAAAATTATGAGGTTGCTCGATAGAGTAGATACTAAAGTATTGTTTCCCATGATTGGGGAATCTAAACAAGACATCACAGTTTCATGATAAGGGTTGATAGTCTAGGACTGAGACAATGTGGAATTTCTTCAGAGGATTGTGATTCTTTTGTATTGTCTACCACAAACGGTTTTGTATGGTTAGAGAAATGCAGTTGTACTTTCACTGCACTGGCTTGCTTGCCATAATCATGTGACTTCCACCTCTGCTGTAAATGTCTTTATAAGCCATTAGGCACAAATCACTTGAAACATGCAGTTAGGAATGCGATAGCTGAAAATGTATGGATTTTCAGAATGGTAAGACAGTCAGCTACTGATAGATACATCAAGAAAGAAGTAAAAACTGCAATAGTCTGTAACTTTGAATTTCTGGGTGTCAAAATAGCAGTGCAATATCCGTTCCACACTGCTGTGGGAATGCAAATAGGTAGAACTGGATTACTTTCCACTCTTAGTGGAAAGTCTATGAAATAGTTACAGAATTAGTTTTACAAACTGAGTAAATAAGAGTAGTAACCCTACTTTTCTGGGGAAAGACGGCTACAAGGTGTATTGAAACCTAGAATTCGCTGAGGAGCAGAAAAGCTAGATTGTAAGATTTTGAAGGCTTTGAATGTACCCTTTGAACCTATCATATTATTAATAATAAATGGCATGTGTTCGGCATCAGAGCTCAAAGAGAGAGGGAGACTATTAATCAGTATGTGACTACACTGATATGTTTAACTAAATCCAGTTAGGACAACTGAAAGATGATCTCATCAGAGACAGGATTGCCTTAAGAATGAGAGATCCTGCAGTGACAGCACATTTGCTGAGAGAGCATAAAATTGCTCTTGAAAAAACAGAAGCTGTAAAGTAGTCAATCATGAGCAAGAGCGTAGTAATGGGAGAAGACACAAATCTTAGCATTATACTGGAGACATTCCAGGCCAAATGAAAACAATACATTTGGAAAAAGGAAGAAACTTTTACAGAGGAGCTAGCAGAAAGATAAAGGCCAGAAGGCAGGATATAAATATGAGGGACATCACATAAAAGAAAAAGAAGCATGTCCAGTGTGGGAATGCAGTGTTGTAACTGCGTGAAGCTGAATCATTTTGCATGCAAGTATTTATCTAGAAA